CGGACATGGCAAATCTGAAAAAAAAAAATGTTATTATAAAGTTTGACGTCGTTCAATGAAGTTTAGAAAATCATTAAGAGTTTTGTCAACTTTAGTATTAAAAAACATTAAGTTACATTACGTCAGCAAGCAATTAAATATTCTTGATTGATTAAACTTGCAATTCTCAAAATTTCACACTTTTCCAAAATGATAAATGACTTTACATCATCTTCTTTTCCCTCCTCATTTCTTTCGCTTCTATCCCGGCGTCTGTCTTAAACATAATTACTGATTTTATTAAATTTAGGATTAAAAGAGTAATATATTTATTACTTCTTCTCTTTTCACAATGAAGAAAAATTAGTTTTTTTTCTTCTATAAAATAAATTGTATTACGAGTTTTCACTTGTAAATTTAATTGATAATATTCCTGATTAAAAACTTATAATTTTTGCATAAAAAAATAAAAAATTTTAATTATTTAACCCTTGAAAGTCTTATAATATTTAGTATATTACAAACAATTATATTCCAATTACCTGTTAATTAATATTCCTAATACGGTATTCTACTGAGACGAGCAAATGAGAAACCCCTTATCCGCTTACTGCAAATCCTTCGAACATGCACGTTGCATAGTTCACAGGAAGTCAATTGTACGCAGTAATTTATCATCTGTCTGCAGATGATCTTGTGTTTCCGAATACACAAAACACGCAAAGTGCATTTTCATATAAAAATGTCAACGATGATCGATAATATAAATTCGATATAATCATTTTAATTTACGCAACATATTCTTCATGACTTTAATGAGACACATGTGCGTTCAGCAATTTATACAAATTAAATGTTCCGTTTATGCAAATTTTAATGAGAGATCTTGATTAAACGTTTGCGGATTTTACGATCTCATTGAAAGAAATGTCCGTTTGGCGGTCAGTGTTTTAATTTATCGTTGAGAGGTAAAAATAAATTTCTAGTCGCAGCTCGCGCGGAGGATTATGAATAATTGATGCGCCCGCCAGTCTCGTCGATTGTGCCCATTAGTTGATTTGATTGAATGGCTTCTACGCCGATGCATTAAGTTGTCGAATTTAAAAGTATTCGAGATTTGTCAGATGTCATCTGTGCCGTCGGAGCGCAAATAACAAATTGGCGAGGAGCCAGCACCGTTCACAAAGTGCAATCTCGGCGTCTAAGAATTCACTCTTGATATCGTATTCGGGTTAATTAGCGTCTCATCGCGATGCAGATCCCGCGTGTCTCTCGTGTCTCAAGCGAGACGGAATGGGCAATAACAACCAATCGATAATATTGATAACGTCGTGCCAGTAATCGCCGATCGCCCACGGCGGGATGGCAAAGAAACAACGTTGGAACGCTGGTCAACGCTGCTCGTGTTGTTACCGAACCGTGTAACTCGGATAACCGAAGGAAGGTACAATAGCCGCTGTAAGTTACACCATTATCGAATATTGCGGAAACATGTTTATGTAATGTGAATATATTAAATATTTAGAAATACTGCTAAATATGTATAAAATTCGTTTCTATACGTCGCGTTAAAATGAAAAAGCAGCTGCCCGAAAAGGCGGTCCTTCATTAATCTAAATTCATTAATTAAAGTTTACTTACACGAAGCAAAATATTTTAATATCGTATCAATTTTACATTACATTTGCTAAAAAATGTTAAAAGATAAAGCAATTTTACTTATAAATTATTTAATGTATTTTATCACTGAACGTGCAATAAATACTTGAAAAATATATTTTCTTTATAAAATATATGCTTCTTGAGAAGCAATCAATAACATATATAAATTAATAAAGAAAATATGATTCCAATAATTCATAAGTAAAATTAACTTGTTTTATCGTTTTTATCAATAGGTATATAATAGTCCATTATTCTTAAATTTTTGACCAATGATTTATCTTTGGACATCTGTAAAATCTACTCGGTAAATTTTTGAAATATCGACATCATCATACGTATCGAATTGTCGATAGACAATTATGATCCTAAGCACGTAGCCGGACCGCGCGAAATATTCCATTAGATTCCGGCGCCAGCCAGAGGCGGAAACAAGAAGACTGCGAGTCGTACTGAAAAGCGGAAAAGTTACGTAGTCGCTTTTTCCGCAGTTGATCGCAAAGCTGAGAGACGTCAAGCTTACATTGGTTATTCTTCGCGATTGGACGGCGTCAAATAAGTTGGATTGAAAAATGTAAGGGACCGTTGAGGCGGAAACGCAACAGACAATCAGAAGCGGAAGCGCGAGGAGATGTCGAAGAACGTCGGAGCATCGCGGCGGAAACTGTTCAAAAACTGCCCGAGAAACGTTGGAACTTTGACGCCAGTAGAGTGTATAAACTCGCGACTATTACTAGTGGCAGCGCAGAAATCACAGATGTGAACGTCAGTGATGCAAACGTAAATACTGTGCGCCCAACGTGTTTATGGGTTATCAACGTCGAAGCGTTATGAAATCTGATTTGCACAAACGAAAAAATTCAATGTTTCAGTATTTTTACCTTCTGTTAAACAATTAATGCTCAAGTCGACAATGACTGCATTTATGTCTTCATTTTTGCGGCATTAAATTTCAGTAATAGAATTTTTAAAATCATACGTATTAAATTATCAAATTATTTTTTCTAATTATAAATAATCGTAATACTTTCCGTAGACTAAATTTTATAAAATAATTACTCACAAACATATTCAACTAACTTTAAAGTGATGTTTGCTATTTTATAATTTTAATTGAAAATTTTATGTTAAGTATTTCTAAAAAAGAAGAGTATATATTATTATTAAATAATTATAGTTTTCTAGAAATATTTCTTAAGAAAAAATGTTCGTCATTGAATTCATCATTTAAACGTAAGAAGTTCTTACTTCTTAGTGGAAATCCTCTTTCGCATGATTACGCGATTTGCAGTGTCGTATCGAAGTGTCCTTGTAATATGTTTGACATCTTCGTCGTCGCCGTCGCACGGCACGCGAGCGTGCGAGGGACGCGCGACGCGAAAGAGCCGAGCGCAACGTCGAGATGAAGAAAAGGCAACACAAAGGAGAATCGGGCCATCGGAGCGTTAACCCTCGTCCGGGCGACCCCTTTTTCTAACGAGAAGAAAAAGCGAAGCTCTCGCTGAGATATTTTACTTGCTTCATAAAAATCGCCGGCAAACGAAGAATGAAATGTTTCGCGCCTTTAGTACGCAAACGATCTTCTCGGGTTGTATAGACAGCATTTATATCAGTTATGTCTCCCTCTGTTCTCTTCAGTCTTCGAAGTAAAAATGGTTATTTGAAAGATACTAAACTTATTTCTCACAATTATGTGAGAGGTGAATTTATTCTTATAAATAATTGTGAAAAATAAATATTATTCTCGTAAGTAGTTAAATTTTTCGACCCGCTAAACTCGCTGCATTATAAACAATTTAATTATGTTAAGTTCCTTAAATGATATTTTTATCTCTCTTATTGGCGGTATTATTTTGGCGCGCTTCGTGATGTAGACATGCTGTATCATTCGCTCGATTTGGCAAACGTATGTCGCGTATCTCGTGCGACGGCACGCACACATAACATGTTGTCTTCCTAGAGCATTAAAACGCTCGAATACTATTACTGTGAGAAGAGAACGGGCAATTTTATTCTTTCTTCATCCAAAGAATTCAGCCACTTTTTTCAAGTATTGCTTAGATAAAATAAAATTGAGGCTTACCCCGCGTTTTTTTTATCTGACAAAAAAAAATGTTGATATTCCGCTCGTATTTGTTTTAGCCAATCGGCCGTTTCTGTTATTTTATTTCGCCGTTGTTTCTGTTACTTTGAAGGAAGAAAAGGGGGGGGGGAGAACATTTCGGAGGCTGATCCGCAGAGACCGGATGGTATCCTCCCGCATACGGCCCTCTGTTGACTGAAGCGACTTAAGTCAACGCCGCCCACGGTCTGGCACGCGGCCTCCAGAGCGCGCCAAGACGAAGAGGGATGTACGCGCGCGGGGATGAGAAATGAAGAGGAGAGACGTCATCGGGGGATGTGGACACGCGAGAGACGGAGACGGACGGCGAGGTGGAGTGCGACACGGCGAGCCGGGAAGATGCGGTGCGACGACGACGGAGCGAGCGGAACTGCGAGGGAACTGCGAGGGAGATGCGAGGGAGAGCGAGTGACGGCGAAGGGTTCAAGTATAAGTATATACCGAGGCATGCGCCGTCCTATCATATTGATCTCGCCATAGTAACGATTCTCTCTTCTCCGGCGATGTCGGGATGCACTATAGCCGCGGGAGGAAAAGGGATGCTAGCGAGCGAGGAGTCGTGCGGCAGAGCTCGGGGAAGGTGGGAGGAAATGGCCGTAAGAGAGGGGAGGGCGAGAGGCAGGTCGTACCGCATGGTGTACCACGCCACCCCACGATGCGCGCGGATGTGGGCCGCCGAGGGCTGAACGCAAGAGCGAGAGCGCGGGGCGAAGCGCCGGCGAATGAGGAGAAAGGGGGCCGTTGAGGGAGCCGAAGGGGGGAGAAGGTGACGAGAACAAGAGCGAGGCAGCGGAGAAAGAGAGAAGCAGGAAAGGGAAAAGGGAGCGAAAGGACAAGGGGAGGGCTGCGAGAGACGGACAGCGTCGTCGTCGGTGATCGAGGTAGAACGACGATACGGGGTGCAGAGTGGCGGAGGAGAGTGAGATCGAGACGCGCGCGGCGACTGGCAGGTATACACTCTGGACCAGAAAGAGGGAGAGAGAGAGAGAGAGAGAGAGCGAGAGAGAGAGCGAGAGAGAGACAGACAGAGGGAAATGGGAAAGCGAGAAAGGGAGAGAGAGCGATAAGGAGAGCGAGAGGGAGAGAGCGAAAGGACGGCGATACCGCGAGCGACGGAGAGGACGGACGTGGTGAACGGTGGCGGTGGGCTACCAACAGAGCTAGCGCCGGAGCGGCAGTACCGCGCGGCGCTGCAGCCAAATGAAAATCAGTCCAGCGTTGGTCGCCGGCGAGGCCGCATCTGGCAACCCCCTCCTGATCCGGGATAGAGTGATACAGTAGTCCCGCGAGGAAGACCGAGATCAAAAAGGTAGCCCGTGCGACGCGCGTCCTCAACGTAGCGCAGAAGAACGACAGCGAGCAAGAGAGAGAGAGAGAGAAAGAGAGGGACAGATCGGGGAATGTTTTCGCGGTGCTGCCGGTCGCACGCGTGCCGAGACCCGCAGTACCGAGGGTGAATCCCCCTGAATCGTTCCACCCTGACCCGATGCTGCAGCGACGAGGAAACGCGGGAAGCTCGCTACGTGCGGTACGAGCCGGCGAGATCGGACTGCGGACGCGTCTCTGAGCCCGTTTTGTACATGCAGCGCGCGAGATCCGCATCGGCGTCGGCCCCGTGAGTAGTAGTACCGGTTGCAGTTGCGGCGATATCGAGGCGCTCACAACCGAACGATATCCTGCCGAACGGCCGACCGACGCGATATCGCTTGTTGACGCGAAAGTATATCCGCGGAAGAGAGAAGCATAGATCCGCGAGATCCGCAGACGAATCCAAATTGAGAAGAGATGTCCGCGCTGCCCGACAATGCCGCGTCGTGGTGCAGCAGATCGTCCGGGCCATAGTGCGCGCGAGTTGTACCATCCGGTACGGAGTAGCGGCGGTGGACGGTTGCACCAGAGGATCGCTGCGTGGAGGCGGTCACGTGCCTCCCCGACGTAGCTAGGACGATGCGCCTGGCGAGTCCGGTGCAGGTGCGACCGGGCGGGCCCTGAGGAGTTTTTCCCACGACTGCTCCGTTCCGTATTACGCGCGCCGCGAGCGAGCCGCTGAGAACAGGTGATTCTGCCGCGGGAAGGCCCCCCCGGGTGGCCGAGAGGTTCGTCCTCGCTCGACGCGCCGACAGCCACGTGCGAGGACGAGCGGACGAGTGGCGGCGGCGGCGAGGCGGCGGCGGCGGCGGCAGCAGCGACTGTGAGGGAGGTGGGGAAAATCGGCAACGTGGAGGAGGTGGTGCACAGCCAGGCGGTCATCGAGGAAGGAGCGGCAGCCACGCTCCGGCTTCCCCGCGAGCAAACATGAGACGGCCGTGGACGCTCGTCGCGGCGATAGCCCTGGCTGCGTCGGGTGAGTGACTCTTGTACTACTCGCAGGAGTGCGTCCCTGCCGTTAGCCCCGACGGCGTTTTCCGCATGAACGATTTACAATTAGTCGCAACGCGAACTTCGTCCACCGGCTGTCTCGTTAGTCGATCGAGTTCCCACTGTGTCCTTACTCCCACTCGCCTCTTCCACAAGTGTCCGTCGACGTCACGACGACGCGTCGTCGCTCTCGTCTCTCTTTCTTTCCGACGCTGCGAATGCACGATAAAGCCGTAAAAACCGTGTCGGCGTTACACCTTCGATATAGTCCAGCTTAATCTGCTTCTCTTTAGTGTATAATTAAAATCGTAGAGTTATTAAAATCGTCGGGTAGCTGGTTATTCCGAACGAAATAACCAAAAGCGCCGACGTTTCTCGCAAAACGTCGATGTGCCTCTGCTATACGGATTTACATTTTATGATCCGCTGCGACTTCGGCTCGGATGATTCGTTGGACGGGGGGCGATCGGAAACGTCATACCGATACTGCGACCCGTGTCACAGAATTTCAGTTCCTAACGCGAACCGACAACTTCGCCCAGGAATTCAATGTCGTGTTGCTCGCTTCGAAGAACTTCATGAATCTTGGATCTTTGCCGTTCGCGATCTTCGTTACGAAGACGCGAGAGATCGAGCAACCGCCGGGAGCAGAGGAATACGTGAGATTCTTCAAGTTTGCATCCCGGCGAAGTTTCGATCTTGCGGCGCGATTAATCATCTCCTCGGCATTGCCCGTACCAAGTCTCGTTTCCGGAATTCGCGCGGAGCTTCTTCCCGTAAACAAATAAATTTCTTCGAGTTTGTCGAAGGAATCGCAGTCGGCGAATCTCTCTTACACGAGCACTCTTGTCACGACCCCTCATCTCGTTTCTCAAGATATAATCTCTTCCACGTTGTTCACCGGAGGACATGTAATTCCGTATAGCTGCAAAGACATTGTTAACGTTTCAGTGTTTACAAGAGAGTTTCCATTCCGCTTGTTATTCGTTCAACGCCAAAAATCACGCCGGGCGCGGCGGTTATGTATCCTCAAGGTTGCCGCCCGGATTACGGGGAGGGCGAGTTTCGCTTTCGAGCGGGGGAAGGGGTGGAATGTTCTCGTCGCGTGGGATCCTTCATCTCTTCAACGTCGCTCGCCCGCTTCCGGAATCGGTGCGAGCGCCTCGTCGAGTTTCGAGCTTTGAATGGAGCAGGCAGATGTAGAGCGCCGCAATCCCGGGAGGAGGAGGAGAAGGAGGAGGAGGAGGGGGAGGAGGCGGAGGAGGAGAGAAGGAGGAGCAGAGTGCAAGGGAAAACAGGGGCAGCGCGGAGGGGCCGAGAGGGAAACGCAGCGTTTCAATATTGACGTCAACCCGCGACGCTTCCAGAGCGACGCGACGTCTCGCGCCTCGTTAGCGGCACGTTGATGCCACCAGCTGGGAGCCGGAACGCGCGCGCATGCCGCGCGCCAAATCGGAGACGCGCAAATATTTGCGCACTGCGCCGATGATGTTTTCGTTGTATTGGCTTGCGCGACGCTCCTCCGGCGTCACTCTCGCGTCTAGGAAAAGGTCGTGGGACGTGGAGATCCCACGGGACCTCCCTCGGGAAATACGCTTATGCATTGATCACTCGGAATGTAAAGCTTGTAAAATTAAAGAAGCAGGGAGAAAAGGTTATAATAACAAATGTATCGAAAGGAGATGGATCACGGTTTTCTCCAGGGTGTTTATACAGCGAACAATAAAAACAGATGTGGTGTACAGAGCGAAAGTTATTAAATTTCTCTTCAGAAACACCGCAATGACAATTTCGTATTCCGGACTTCCTCTTTAAAAAAATATTATCGTGAGAACTTAGTATTTAGTTTGGCAAATGTTCATTTAAAAATAGCGTTGATTTCCTTTCGATTTTAACTGTTCTACAACCGCTCGCCGCCGTCGGAAGCAATCGTAATTAATTACGAACGAAATATAAACTGCCGCTTCCACTTGATGCCCGCGCGTCAGAGACGCCCCTTGTCGCGCGTCGCGGCGCGTTAATTAATTACAACGACCTCGTTATAAATAATAATCGTTCAATTGTGTCGATCGCGTTGGAAACGCCGCGGATATTTCCATAGCCCGGGAAACAACACGAAAATTCCATTATGCACGTTGACCGAGATCGAATGGAAATGTGCCGCGCTGCAGTCGCAGCACGTCAAAAGCCGTCTCAACCGGTACTACCAAATTGTGCATGTAGCTCCGTGTAAAATGTAAATTAGGAAGTTATCCACCTCGTCCACGCGTGTCGGGAGGTCGTCCTGCCATGACGTATCGTGTTGATTAATTAGCATCCCACCGCCGGCTGTACGCAGTTTCCCGTGCTAGTGCTGCATCCGGCGCCGCTGCAGACGTCGCCGGTCGTAATGGGAAATGGTTGCAAAAATCGCGGTCGTCCCACGCTCAAGAAAGCAACGGAAGCGTTCTTCTCGAAATGATTAATGCGAGCTTTCGTCTCGCCGAGGCAATCGATCGCACTTCCAGGAGAAATTTTTGGATGTAAAACAACGTAACAAGAAGTGCTTTCTCCGCGGAAAGTTAGCAGAACGTTGGTCGATTAATTAACATATTAATGCACATTAATGTAGTTTCACAACTTTCATTGTTTTCCATCTGTTTTCGTAGAAAATATATCAAAACCGTGCAAGATGAGGATTCAGAATTTTCTTGACGCAGTGCGTTAATTAATTAAAATTCCACTCGTAGAAGTCATCTGCGTTCAGTTGTTTTTTCGTTGTTTTGCCAGAAAACTATATCATTATATACACAGTGTGACACATTTGTCTCAAACATTTTAAATATTTTTGCAGAATATTAATGGAAAAAAAAGGTTGGATTACTTTATGTAGAATATAAAAAATGTTCTTGTTGACCTTTAAAATACTCACTTTTTATTAAAATAAATAACCTAAAAAATAAAATGTTCAAGTTTGATAAATTGCTATTGTATTTTTGAAATATGTTTAGATCTTTCAATTATAAATTTTTATCTTAATATTACAAATTTGTGGTATTTTAGTACGTTTTTCGTTTAATGTCAAACGGTAATACACAAAATGTGGATTAAAGGTTCCCTGGCGTATTATGCTGATTAATTGCGATCCTACGCTATGAACGGTATGTTCGTTCATCTTCGTTCTCTGGACAATTACGCCTACTGAAGCTTCTAAGAGAACAGCTGATGCGTTCCACCCACGCGGCATCAGATCGTGCGTTCGTAGCAGTCTGTTATAGCAAGTGGAAGAAAGAAGAGCGAGAAAGCATAAGACATGCATCAAAAGCTCCTTTGAGTTTCCTTTATATTTATATTCTTGGACGGTAATATTTTCATGCTGTATAAAATAATCTTCATAACATTTTCATTTGGGTGGAATTACCATATCGTTCAAAGTAAAATTTTGTAAAGACGGTTTTCGTGATGGAATCACTAGCCCCCAAAGGATTAATTTCATACACAGAGTATTCCCGGTTAACGCAATTCTCTTTAATCTGGACGCTGCACAATCAACTAAAAAGAATCGCGTAAAAAAAAAATATTACAAAACGTGATATAATTTTTGGACGGTAAAGGATTCATATTAATCATACGAAATGAGCTATTTCAATACGTTCAGAGAAACGCTGCTATCTTTATTCTGTTCTATTTATATCTATACGTATCTGAATGCAAATACGAACCGGTGGCGAAATATTTAAAAGTAATTTTTCTCGAATATTTTTATATCGTCTTTTATTAATAAAAACGATTAATCTGTATCATCCTGCACACTTTATCCTCTCGCTCTCTCTTTCGTAATACCATTTTTACAAAGCAATCTATAATTATTAAACCGATTACGTAATTCGCGCCGAGATAAAGATTACCAAGTATAGACAGAATATAGTCCTGGAAACTTGCCGGCTAACTATGTTATTTTTAACTTCAGAACTTTGCCAGTAATTCCGAGATTTTTGTGTAATCCGCTCTAAGAAGCTCTGTGGGAAACCTTGCTGTTGCTTGAAAATTTTAGACATTCCTGAAAGTCCATTCGAGGAAAATCCCAGCGAAGAAGAGATTCACTTCGCTTGACGAATCTCAGTCTGAGAAAGTTCTCGAAAAGTTGCGTATTTTAAAATAATGTTGCTTGCGTAATATTTTTTGGCTCGTATAAAATATAGTCATGTTTCGAAAGATAGACTTCTTCAAATAAAATTAAATATATCCAATGTGTGAGTCTATGATAGACCATTCTACGTGTATTATTTTACATATCATTTTAATGAAGAATATAGCAGAGTCTTCTTAGACAGAAATGTACGATTGTTCTAATAAAATGAAAAGAACTAACACTTGCGTCATATTGAATTTTTCCAAATTCAATCGGGTTTCTGTCAAAAACGCCGGTGGACATATGTTCGTGTTGTAAACTATTTTATCTGTCTCTACATCTTTCCTATTTTACCTTTATAAGTAATCCTGAACAGTATATATAAGACTTTATATATCTAAAATACTATTAACAGAGTATTTACATTATGTTTTAACAGTATCGAACGTAAAAATGCGCTTTCAAATTGATTTTTATTTTACATGCTATTTCCGATATATTGGATATAATTATAATAGCAAGAATAAACATACTTAGCATTAAAAAAATGCAATATCGTGATATCAAACATGGGTGAATTGAAAAAGATCTGACAAAAATCTTTCTTATTGCATTCAGTATTAGCTATACAATGTGTTCATAAAACAAGCGGTTAAGTTTCTACAGTACTGAAGAGATTAAATACTTGAAAAACTTGTAGTTGAAAATGTTGGATTAAAGAATTACAAAGAAATAAATTAATGTCTTCTTTTTTAAGAATTACTGAAATTTCTCAAGTATTATAATTCTGGAGTGCTGCAAGTTTATTGTAAAACTGAATTTCGAATACAATGCCGAAACATATTTAATAAAGCATTTCAAAAAGATATTGTTGG